TAATTCTTTTCCATTACACTAGACGGTGACTAATATACGTGTTAAAATGATGATGTTAGTGAAGAAGTGGAAGCTGCAGCAACAATGGGGACGAGGTCGTTTTTCTTCATTTAGAAGCTGTTCTCTTCACCTGATCTGAATGTTTCTGATCTGAATTTTTTAAGTTCTGATCTGATCTGATCTAAATGTTTCTGATCTGATCTGATCTGATCTGAATCTTTCTGATCTGGTCTGATCTGATCTGAATGTCCCTGATCTGATCTGAATGTTCCTGATCTGATCTGAATGTTCCTGATCTGATCTGAATGTTCCTGATCTGATCTGAATGTTTCTGATCTGATCTGAATCCTTCTGATCTGATCTGAATCCTTATGATCTGGTCTGATTTAAATATTTCTAAAATTATAATTATAATTTTAATTTTTATTATAATAATTAGAAATGTAATTACACATATATAATTTAAATATAATTATAATTATAATCATAATTATAAAAAAATTATAATTATAATTATAATAATTATAATATGATCTGATCTGAATGTTTCTGATCTGATCTGAATGTTTCTGATTTGATCTCAATGATTCTGATCTGATCTGATCTGAATCTTTCTGATCTGATCTGATCTGAATTTTTCTGATCTGATCTGATCTGATCTGAATAAAATAAGAATAAATAATAAGTAATAAGATTAAGATGAACAGAACAGCTTCTTAATGCAATAAATTTTACGGAGTATCATTTAGTGCATTGGAATTATTTCCTATCCTAAAACTCACTATATGCACGAAGCACGTATGTTTAAGACCAATTTCCTATTTCAATGCTCTTTGTTTTTACGGATGCAAGGCCATTTGTATTGTTAGGATGTTTTTTTGACAGTTTTCAGTCTCAGACCAGACCAGACTTAATCAGACTAGACCAGACCAGATTTAATCAGACTAGACCAGACCTGACCAGACTTAAACAGACAAGATCAGACCAGACTAGACTTCCATAGTTATAAAATACACAGAGACCAGACGTTTACCAGACCAGACCAGATCAGTTCAGATCAGACCAGACTTAAACAGACCAGTCCAGACCAGCAAATTTCAGTCCAAAAGAAAACATCCTTAGTGTATTAGGAGTTCAAAATGTTAAAGTTGGAAGTTTTGGACTCCCAATTGAGTGTAGTGAGAAATTAAAAAAGGTTAAAAGTGGGAAAGAGGATGGAGGGGGTTAAGTATAGAGAGGGGATTGAGAGAGAGGGAAGAAAAGGGAAAATAAAAAAATGACGGCCGGCCGGCCGGGAGTCGGACACATGAGTGGGGATTGAGAGAGAGGGAAGAAAAGGAGAAATAAAAAAATGACGGCCGGCCGGCCGGGAGTCGGACACATGAGTGGGTGCCGATGACATCTTGCTGACATAATCCCTGAGTTATAAAACTCTAATTTTTTTAAGCTTTTCTAATTTTTTTATTTGTTCTCCAAAGTTTTAAAAAAATATGCTCCGTATCAAAATCCATAAAATTTTATGATCTTTAGTATGACACCAATATTACATATATAAAGTGTAAAAAAAAAAATTGAAGTTTTAACTGTTGAGGTTTTCTTGGATTAAAAAAATACGAAACATAAAAAAATAATTACATTGAGATATTCAAATATTACATGAATTCATTTTTAATTTTTATTAAAACTGCAAAAAGTAAAAAAAATGATTTTTTTTAAAATTGAAATGTGTTCTGTTTTTAATTTCATAATTATTCATAAAAAATAAAAAATAACATTACTTATAATAATTTAATTAATGTTTTAGTAAAGTGGTTTGTAAAGAATATAATATGTTGAGTTTACTTTATTGATCATCATGAAATGCATTGAAAAGCGATATGGACATAGTCGAAACAATGGAGTCTATATTTAAATTTCTAGACGATGCATGGATGCAGAGAATCTTTTAATTTTAACGACCACATCATCTATAATACTAATTTAGTCATATAATTTTATGTTTAATTTTTACATTTAGGTCACCTTCGCACTATACTCATACTAACTTTAGTTCAATTTTTGTAATAGATAAATTACTCCATATGTCCCAAATTGAGTTACAAAATTGACTCTTTTTATCACATTGATTCATTTTATTGACTAGATAAGGATATCAATTCTTATTCAAATTGTAATTTGAATTTTATAACTGTATAGAGATTTTAATATAATTTTTGAATATGTAAACTTTAACTATTAAAACTGAAATAATAATCCAAGTTCAACTTTAACATTGGTTGACAAAATATGTTGACTTTGAAAAACAATTTGGGACAAAGGTTATATATTTGAGTAATAATTTTAAAAAACACTATTTAAGATCCGGTTGGCTGATTGGAAATTTCTCTGTTTTTCTGAAAAACAAAAAACTCGAAAACATTTTTGTTAGGATAATGGGCCAGGTTGAATACTATTTGTCCGTTACACCCGATAACGGGCCTCACTGGTCCAGAATACGGCACGGCTAGCACAAATCAATCTGGGGTTCTTTAGTTACTTGTAGAAGTAGCATTTAATCAGTGGAAATGTTGCAAATGCAATAAGGATGTTTTCTTTTAAACTGAAATTTGCTGGTGTGGTATGGTATGATATGGTCTGGTCTGAACTGGTCTGGTCTGGTTTGGTTTGATAAGGGTCTGGTCTCTATGTATTTTATAACTACGAAAGTCTAGTCTGGTCTGATTTGATCGGATATGAAACTGAAAACAATCCAAAAGAAAACATCCTAAGTAGGTCATCAATTCTCTTGTAATCACAACGTTATCTTCACTATACTGAATTATCATTGTTTTATTTCTAGCGTATTTTCTACCAACAATATTTATTTTACTCTTGTCCAAATTATGAATTATATGAGCTATTTCTATTGTCAAAATATTATAAAAATATTAGTAAAAATGGTTAGAATTCATAGAAAATGAAAAAACTATTAAAAATAAAGGAAATAGCTAGGTGCCCTAGTTGGCGCCTAGGCGCCCGCAAAGGTGGGTTAGGCCTAGGCGGCCAGTCACAACCCGACTAGCGCCAACGCCTTTTAGAAGCTGTTTTTATGAAAGTCGGAAGACTAAATATGAAAATCTTCAAAGACATGTACTAAATGCGTTTTTCGCAGGACTACAAGAGGAAAAAATTAAGGTCGAGTACCACATGTGTCAGTGTCAGGACTAAAAGTGGTAAAAACTCTATTGTAGCATCAACTTATTAGTTTCGAGGTTTCTTTTATTTTTCGATACCCCGTCAAAATAGTTCTAGTTCTGCTACTATGTTTAAGGCAAATTTTGAATTTCAATACTCATTATTTCAACCTGTCATGTTGAAAAATAAACATACATGTTGAAAAACACCACGGAGTCGCAACAAGATTTGGTAGAGTAATTCACTATCAAGGGAAATACCTAACCAGTTTCCGTTATTATCCTAAAATGTACCATTACAGAATTAGAAAATTACTAACAGAGGATTTGCCAACTAAACTAATCAGTCCGCTGTAGCAATTAAACTTGCTGGCAATTGCAATCTTCGCTTACTATCTGGGTTCGAATCCCAGCAGCGGAACTTTTTTGTTTCACTTCAAACTTCCAACCAAAATTTATGTACGGACTACGGAGTATCTTATACCCGTAACTTCGAATTCTATTTTACGAATTTTGTTTTTGTGTTTAAGTAGAATATTAAGTTTAATTTCAACATGCGTAATTTTTTTTATTTTCGAACTTACATAAATATTTTCAAGAATAATTAATACAAGCATTAAATTTATTATTTCACCTGATTTTTTATGTGTGCTTAAATAAAATATTTAATGGAAATAATTACAAATGTATAGCTACATAAGCGTGTTTATATAAATGTGCTCTTTTAATTGTAACAACCATATCTATTATAATAGTAACTTAGTCATAAATTTTTATGTTCTATTTTTTACATTTAGGTCACCTGTACTCATACTAACTTTAGTTATATATTTTTAAATAAGTTATATTTTAGTCATAATTTTAAAAAACTCTATTTAAGAAGTTGTTTACTAACTGGAGAATTTTCAATTTTGTTTAGAAATCTGAAAGCTGAAAAACATTTTTGCTGGGTTAATGGGTAAGGTTGAATATTATTGGTCTCTTATACCTGAGAGTGCGCCTCACTGGTCAAGAATACTGTCCGGGTAGCACAAATCAGTACGAGAATATCTAATTATTTATCGGCACGCCGGTTGACCCATATTAATCATAAATTGGGTCAACCCGAAGTGGCATTTAATTAGTAGATAAACTAGATATTTTGTAAACGCCTATAAATATGTTATCAACCGTCTTAAATCTCCAAATTAAAAATTATTCTTTTCGGAAATTAGAAAACTAGACGTTTCTACTTTCTTATATCTCCAAATTAAATTTGAAAAATTCACTTTAGCCATTATCTGAGATTGAAGAAGTAAACTGGGCTCAATCTCACTCCATTGAAAATTGAACTCGGGACCTCCTATAAGAGAGAGAGAGTCGGCACCAACTAAGTTGGACCGCTTACTCATAGAAATAGAGAGCTCTATGCTAGACAACTGCGCAGTTAAAAGCGCATTTATCTTCAAGATTTCATTTGAATGCCTTCCCGATTGAAGTTTTTAGCTGAAATTAGGTATTAGTAAACTAGACTTAATGAATAAGATGGTCAAAAAAATTCATCCAAAAATTCCACCGTGAACCGCTCCAAATGGCGACGTCCGGACAGAGCCTCCTATATAAGGGCTTATTTGACCTTTTTTCCTATGAGAAATGCTAGAGGTACACACTTTGTGTACACATTTTGTGTACACTCGTCTGTCTCTTAAGAAAATTTTGTCTGTCACAGACAATTCATATATGAGTTGTCTGTGACAGACAAAATTTTCTTAAGAGACAGACGAGTGTACACAAAGTGTGTACACAAAGTGTGTACCTCAAGCATTTTTGTGAAAATAATTTGAGAGTGTAATAAACCAGAAAGCAGGTCATACACTTAGTTTCAACCAATGCAAGAAGGCCTCTCACAGTTTCAACAAGTGATATAACTCCCAAGAAACCATCAATAGACAGGGAAATACACAATAGTAGTCATATTTACAAAAAGGCTAAAGGGTCAAATAGGTACATGAACTAACTTAAAGTGTTCAATTAGCCCCTTATATAGGAGGTTCTGTCTGGCCGTCGCCAATTGGGGCGGTTCTCGGTGGAATTTTTTGATGAAAATTTTTGAGCATCTTCTTCATTATTAAGTCTAGTTTACTCATATCAAATTTCAGCTAAAAATTAAATCGGGAAGGCAGTCAAATGATTTTTCAAAATGTACTGTGTTGTTTACCTGCGCAGTTATCTTCAAAAAATCATTTGACTGCCTTCCCGGTTGAATTTTTAGCTGAAATTTGGTATGGATAAACTAGACTTAATGAAGAAGATGCTCAAAAAATTTCATCAAAAAATTCCACCGGGAAACGCCCCAATTGGCGACGGCCGGGCAGAACCTCCTATATAAGGGGCTAATTGAACACTTTAAGTTAGTTCATGTACCTATTTGACCCTTTAGCCTTACAAAAAATTCAGAAGGTATTAGGTAAGTAGTAGTAACTGAGTGGCTTCTATATCAGCACATTATGTGAAACTGTTATTATTCCCTCCTACCAACACATACATTGATCTCATCAGATTTCAGCATATCATGGGGAAGGTGGATCCAACAGAGTGGAGGCCGAAGCAATGGGTTCGTGCACAACGGAGTTAGTGGACACTGAAACAGCATTCCCTTCCAAACGCATCATCAAACCACCCAGTATCTCCCTTAACACTTTCTTGAACTCCTCCTCTTTTACCATTTTCCCATCATCACCATCCAACATCTTCAGTGTTTCATCAATTACCTTGTCCATCTACAAAGTTTTTATTAGTTAATACTTAAATACCAATTTACTCAATGTTTCACAAAAAAAGCGACAGCATCCGAGTCATAAGAGACCTCCAGTATTTAACTTGTGTCTCTGTAACTTATAGTTAATCTTTAAAAAAGAAAGTTGTATGCATACCTCATCAACAGCACCGATGGGAGGCAGGCCAGCTGCAGGAGCCAGCAGATCAAGTGTCACACGGAGGTATTTCTTTGACATTTTCCCATGACGATCTTTAGGCACATTTTGAATAGAAGAATCCAGAGTCTGCAGCATATCAACATAAGTACATAACTAAACAATATTAAGTCAATATGTTCTTAGCTATACCGGATGAGGAGAGTTTTCTTTATTTTATCGATGTCCCCGATGGGACAGAGTTTTCTTTATTTAAGCAATCAGATTCCCTATTTTGTATCATAGGTTCTTTCCTATAGGGTTCTTTACCTTATCAAGTTCATATTTGTTGGACAACAACTTCTTAATGCCACTTCCATCAAAGGTGTTCTCAGTATGAGCAACAATTACTGGATGTTCCTTCAGACGTTGAGCAACATTCTCTGCCACCTTCTTAAATTCAACCATGAAAGCGTCTTTTGTAACCGGTTCGTTGACTGTAGTACTGCATGGTCCCACAGCTGGTTCCACAATGTTGCCCATTACCTACAGAAGAACCAAATATCCATAAAATATACAGAAAACAGAAAGTCCCTAAAAGTATATACCCAAGAAGATTTACTACCCAAGAATCCGAGGTAGGAGGCACGCCACGATCGACTGTCAGTTTCTTGAATGCACTCACAATGTATTGTTTCAGGGAGCCACCATGCAGTTCTATCTCAGAGAATATAGAAACCATGTCTGTCTCAAAAGATGGATTGTTTAAAAACTCTAGCAGATCTTCACCGTCGATGCGAAGAATTACAATAGGGTCCCTCTTTAAACCAGTAGCCATGCCTAGTAGAATATCTCCAAGAACCTCTTTGAACTCACTCTTACTTACTTTCTCTTGTTTTCCATGTGTGAATTCATTAAGAACCTAGGTTCAGATAAGTGAAAGAATTAATTTTTGAGTGAAAGAACTGAAGAGAAGACTTCCAAGAATGAAATAGATAACTGATACTAGTATTTGCCAATATAATGCACAGTTAGACCAGAGAAGACAGTATTGGATTATACAAATGAAACCATATATGTAGCACTTCACCGGCCATTGCACTCCCCCTTAAATCAGGTGGACAGTTTTACACATTCCTAAATATTACATCAGGGGGGAAAAGCCAACAACCAAAACACAATAAACAGTAAACAAATCCGTTCTTAAGTGAATTCCTGACTAATACAAGCACTGAGAATGCCATGTCCTTGTCATAACTCACAAGATATACATTAAGAAAGAAACGACCCACATCCACTGAATACTTTTGCAACAATTTAAGCACAGCTTAAGCAACAACTCATCATATATGACTAATATGAGATTTTGTAAAGGTGAGAAAAGCGACAGGATACAAACCAGTCCCTACCAATACCCACTAACTAGAATGATCAATTGATCACAGAATTTACTTTCTTGGTAACCAAATAGGCAAAAAGTCCAAAGTTTTTGTAAAGGAGACAAAAAGGGATAAACTTTTCTCCAAGATTTCTTACAGGAGTGAGTTTCCTCAAGAAGAAATTCAAGAAACGTGAAATTTCAGGCAAAAGATGACAGAAATGGGAAGGGAAAGTGTTACCTCAGAGTAAATATGATCAGAGTGGGGAGAAGAGCCGATTGCAGGCAACCCAATAGCAGCACCAATGTCGGCGACGGCGGGCTGGAGTTCCTTGACGGAGAGCTGGCCGTCGCAGTCTTTGTCGAGTTCTTGGAACTTGTGATCGACAAAGCTCGTAAACACCTCTTCGTTCCCAACTAACTCTATTATATCTGACCCGTCCATAACTTCTCCGTCCAGACCTTTCTTTTTCATCTTCACAGTTTTCGCACTCTGTTTTTTCCTTTCTCCGACTTCCCGTGACTTAGCTCTGGTAATCTGGTTGCCCTTTTTGAGGCCACATTCAAAGTATAAATGTGCTGTGAAGAAGAGGGGAAGCGGGACACGGGGATGCCGGCGGTTAGGACAGCTTGCGTCGACGGTTTGGGCAAACGGGTAGAAATATTGAATTAATTTTAATCAGCCTATGTAAATTGACACGTCTTCATTCAAGTCAAATGCCCAGTTTCAATCTTTGACGGCAAATCAGGGGCATTATGTAATTCCAATATGTTCCTTCTGTCCGCCAAAAGTCATTTAGGCTTTTTTTATTTCGTGCCTGAAAAGTTTTTTTTTTTTTTTTTTTTTTTTTTTTTTTTTTTTTTTTTTTTTTTTTTTTGAAAAGGGAAATTTTATTGATATAAAATTAAGAGTACAATGCGTGAAAGGGAAAAAAAGTACATGAAAGAAAGAAGTGCTAAAATAAATGAGAAGTAGTACAAAAGGAAGAAAAAAGGAAGAAGCTAATCCCATGGAAAATCTCTGGTTTGGGACCTAGTTTTCATGCTGTGCCGTCTTTTGTTTTTTTGAGATTTCCTGTAGATTTTTAGCTGCGTGTTCAAGTTTTCGGTTGGCAAGCAATTTTCAGAGGTTATGAAATTAGCTTTATGGCAGATAGCAGTATTGAACTTGGATTTCCGAATTTCTTCTGGGTATGAGATAGGAGGACGACGATCGCTCTCAGTTGCGTGTCCCAAGAAGTCATCTGTAAAGAGTGAATCGTCTGAATAATCAAAATCGTCAGATGCATCTGAATATGCCTGGATCAATGGTAGCTCGGGTTGTTTTCCAAAGTTGATGGCATGTGTATTTTTAGTATCTCCCGTTTGGATCTGATAGTTGAAAATCAGTTTAGATATGGATGTGGGGTCCTCGGTTTGTTGTTCATTCCCGTGTAGAAGAGATATTGAGTCGTCTGGCACTGTCTTTGAGATCCCTACAAAATTAGTAAGAATATTAAGGAAAATATACAGGCTTGAGTTATGATGTCCCATGGGTATCTGAATGAAGCTCCCCTTGTATTTCTCCATTCTTACATATGAACCCGCTCTACTAATTTTCACGGAAATTGTGATATCTTCAAATCTTTTTTTGGTCCCAAAATTTTTTGGAACAGTATTTGCGATCTGGGAGATGAATCCAATGATTTCTGAGACAAGATCAATTTTGATGTGAATTTTATGGAGGATAGATTTTTTAAGTTGAAAGAGGACCAAATCCGTATCTCGAACTGCAAATTTAAAAGATGTATTTCCAATTTTGACCGAGTCAAACCCAGATTCACCAAAAAAGGAGTATTTCTGGCTTTCATTGAGCAGGTCATCTGTAAATTCGTCGTTTACATACGTCGTGGCCAATTCCTTGCTACATATTTTTTCTAAACCAGATGTACTTGCTCGGTCCACAGATTGCAAAATTCCTGCCAGCTGGCTTGAACTTATCGCAATCGATAGAGGGCCTTTATTTGAGACAATTTCAGGGCCGTCCGTCTTGTCCATTTTGTCCTTAGCGCCCTTGAGGACATCAGCCCATGTGAGCTTGGATTTGCCAGTCGATTGAATGTTATCCGCTGACAGGTTGTCGGTTGCAGGCTTGATAGCCGCGAGTCCTGTAGTTGAGCAAAACGGAGGCACCGACGAATTTTCCGGTCTTCGTCTTTGGCCACCACGGTCTGCTACAGATAAATTTCTGCCTTCGCTCTTGGTTCGTCGCTCATTGATAATATTTGATATCCCTCTAAATGTCTGACTATCAAAGATACTAGGCGTAGAGTCTGATTCGACCTCAGATTCTGATGATTGGGCGTAGGGGTTTTCATCTTCGATTCTTAAACTCCGGTAGCGATTAGCACTACCTGTTCCCCTTTTGTTCTTTGAATCGGGTTGCGAGGGTGCCTGTAGAGTCTGAGGTGGGTATTTTGGGTTTCGTCGTCCCCTGTATTTGACCAAACGCCAACCGTCTTCAGATTTCTTTGTTTGGATTGGGGGGTGATGATTGGGATGCCGGACCAGTTGACGCTGATGAGCGTAACCTCGGTCCCATATGGAGTTTTTTCGAGCTTCTGGACGGGCTGGGGGATTCCAAAGGTCATTTGTGTAAGCCCTTGTGTGATACGCAGGAGTCCTGCTTCTGCGTAATGGGTGTTGCCTGGTGTGATACTCAGGAGACCAGAAATTGTGTAGGTAAGCCCTGGTGCCGTTCCAGTAAACCGGCTCTAAAGTGTAATAGTTGGCCGGATACTCAGGTGACCAAATCCTTCGATTTGGGCGTTGCCTGGTGGTGTTCGAGATTTGTGGCTCATAGTATTGATTCAAAGAGATACCTGGTTTGGAAGGAAGCGAACCTTTCCTTGTGCCTCTGCCGCTCAAGAGCCTGGTGTGGGAGTGATGATTCCAGAGTTCTTGGTTTGGATTGCCAGTGGTTTCCACTGAGTATTGTGTATTGTCATTGAAGAGAAGCTTTTGCCGGTGGTGAGGTTGCCGGAATCCCATGAACGGATTCAGGAATTAACTGATTTTTTAGAGAGATGGAAGAGCTTCTCTCTCTTCATTCTTTTTTGTGAACTAGAATGACCCACACAATCCGTGCCTGAAAAGTTTGTATAGTTTTATACTTTTATGGTTTTGGATAATGATTTAATTACTACAGTTTTGTGGAAGTTATATAATCTAAACTTGATTATATTTTTGGTTTATTAATTTTCACATTCAACTTTTTCACAAAAAATGTAACATTTGATTTCTGATGCTGAATTGTGTAATAATAAAAAGAAAAAAAAAACGATTGAAGTTACTTTTGTGATTGTATTGGATGAAATTACTGTAGATGGTCATTTTAACTATTTTATAATATATTTTTTATTTAATTAATATTAATATATTTTAATTTTTTCTATAGATTAGCCGAATCGGTCAGTCCAACCCCTCTTGCCAAAACATCATAAATTTCATCAAATCACACAATGCAACCGATTTAATATTATCAAACGGGCTCTTTAAACTTTGATGAAAGTATTTCCAACAAAAAATTCTATATAATTTTTATATTATAAATAATTGGGGGAAATAATTCAAATACCCCAAACCTATGTGTAATTTAAATAACTCTTCACACAAAAAGTTATTTTAGCATCATGGTCATTTATTAATTTAAAATTTATGGTGAAATACCCCAACCTTTGGACTGTTTTCAGTCCCAGACCAGATCAAATCAGAGCAGACCACACTTTCTTATTTATAAAATACACAGAGACAAGACATTTACTAGATAAGACCAGAGCAGCAAATTTCAATCCAAAAGAAAACATCCTTATATGATGATGATGCTAACATAGCTATTTATATAAAGTTCAGGATACTCAAATTACATATACAATTTTGGGATGTTTACGTCACACACCTTCAAAGTTTAGAATATTTTAATTATTTTTCCCTAAATAATTTCCTATAAACATATATCATTAGTCAAAGTTTAACTTGATTAGTTATTTCAAAAAAAAAAAAAAATAACTTGATTAGTATAATAATCTAAAGTTGACAAAGTTTTAAGGGATGAAAAGACATATGATTCCCATTTTCTACTACTCTTAAATAATAATTTAATCATCAAATATTAAAAATAGTACATCTATAACTTTACATTTATTATCAATAACTCATTATATTATATAGCCATCAAAGTTATTCTTCAAAAATATTCGAATTAACATATTTAATTATTGTTTAAATAATTGGTCTATTTGAAAATGAGAACATTTGAACAGTAGAAATTTTACTAAAATAACATGATCTATTTTTCGTTATAAACCACCCTAACTTTTAGCTACTTTTTTTTTACTCCGCAAATCAAAACTTTTCATCATGACTAGTACAGTACCCGTGCATCCGCACGGGGTGATCGGTGTTTTTTAAATTGTGATATGTTATAATTAGTCTCATTCCTTACAAAAATAGTCTCACTGCATACATAAATTTGAGTCTTTCATTGGCTAAAACAAAAAAATTTGGACACATTGAAATTAATACTCCCTCCATCCCATTGGACTTATTCCAAATTTCCTTTTTTTGGTTGTCCCAGAAAACTTTGTCTCTTTCCTATTAAAGCAACTAATTTGTGGTTCTGCACATTTCTCTCTCTTCTGCACAAATCTCAACCACACAGTTTTTACTATTCTTATTTCTCACCTACTTTGCACTTGGCAAAGTCCACCGAGACGGAGGTAGTATATAAATGTGTTGAGTAATTGAGAATTGAAATATGTATATATTGATATTATTTATTAAGTAGTATAAATAATACCTAATAAATAAACTTTTTAGATAAAAATAATCAAGAATAATCCATAAAATTAAAGAACTTAATATCACAACTACTTAGAGCCCGTTTGGTAGCCCGAAAATCGGCCCATTTGGCTGATTCTGTTGAAATTTATGAAGTTCTGGTTGGCGTGGCTGCATTGGCTGATTTAAGAAAAAAATATTTTTAAAATATATTTTATTAATAAAATAAAGAAAAAATTATATGTAAAAATAGTTAAAATGGTCATCGACAGTAACCTCATCCCATACAGCCAGAAAAGTAACTACAACCTTACTTTTTCTGCTTATTACACTATTCAGCGCGCGAAAACAAAAGTTACGTGTTGGTGAAAAAGTTGGCTGATAAGCCGAAAAACTGTGTTGTCAAACGGGCTCTTAATCAACGTATAGTAACTAAGAACAAAGCCAAAGAAATAATGCTCAAAGGACTTTAAATCCATTTCAACATTATTACTACTCGCCCAAGTTGACCACGTAAAGGAAATGAATCCGTTTCAGATTTTAAAATTTTCAAACGGGAAAATCGCATAGTTTGTCTTTCAAATTGTACCCGCATTTAAATGTAGTTTCGCCGTTTTTTATATTGTAAATGTCACTGCTCAGTTGTTCAGATTGCTATAAGTGTGGACCCCACTGATAAACCTAAGCTAACATCATTAACTTTTATAACTTTTGGCACAAAGTTATAATTTAAGACATATATGACCATCTAATATCTCATAATTTCTAAAAAAAAAAAGATATAAGAATGTAAATGCAATCTTCATCACAAATATACCCAATATATTTCAATGTCTTTCATCACTTTATGTTTTTATATTGCTTAGATATTAATTTAACGTCATCGCAAAAAAAAAGATATTAATTTAACGTCTTCTACATTGATTGTTCAAATATTTTTAGAAAGAGTTTTTGCTACTTTCGTTCCACCGACTATTTTGTGAGTGACTCTTTTGATACTCGACTTTCAATTTTTTCATTTTTAATTCTCGACTATTGTTCGAGAGACAATTTTAGTCATTGATTCAAATTTTCCCACATTTAATCCCTTAAATATGATCAAATTGACACTTTTAGTCTTTATTTTGACGCAATGAGTGGAGAAGTAAAAATGTCACTATTATAATAATTGAAGGATCAAAAGTGTTACTTTATGAAAGTTGAAGGACTAAATATGAAAATTTTCAAATACGGATACCAAAAATGTCTTTCGCACAGTAGTCGAAGGACTAAAAGTGCAAAAAAAAATCGGAAATTTAAATAAAAATGAAGGAAAGTATCCACACCTTGAAACTCGTGTCCCTAATATAGTGTATATTAATTGTGATATTCTAAATTTAAAATCATAAAATATACTACCCATTTGATAAACCCTATTTTCAACTTATTTGCTAACCTTTTACCAAATTGTAACTTTGAATTTCACACATTGAATTGTGTAACTATCAAAATAAGTTAGACTGGATTTACTTTTCTGGTTGAAATGGCTGAAGTAACTATAAATAGTCATTTTAACTATTTTCATATAAAATTTTCTTTATTTGATTATTAAAATATATTTAAAGTATAATTATACATAGTTAATCAGATTGAGCCAATTTATCCGCTTCAATCAAAATATGGGGCTAATATAAGCAAGTTCAGCCGATTCAGGTCATTTAAGCTACCAAACATGCTCTTAATATGTTAAATTTTGGAGTGTTACCTGGTAATCACATAAAAGTTAAAATTAATTGAATCTAATATCCACATTCAATGATGAATTGATGATTGGTCGAAGCAAAAAATACCAATCGAAAGGATAACATACCAAGAAATTGGTTTTACTTTATCCTACATGGATGCCCTATAAACTTGTACTAGCTTTTATTCTTGGTAGTTGATGTCATATAAAACTATCAAGGCATCAAGTCATGAAATCTGATCAGTTAGGCTTAGACTTCATGACTTCTGCTCACTTGTTCAATTAGTTTTCTTCCTTCCATTTTTTAAAAGTTCAGATTACATATTAAAACATATAATTATCGGTCAAAATCATAAAACCATTCTAATAACCATATATGTAGTAGTAATCTCATGATAAACTTTTTCCTTTCAAATCTCACTTCGGACAACAGACCACTACTCGAAGGATAATTAGTACCATGACTGTAATTTGTGCTTATTTACATATTTTATTAATTTGAGTATATGTAGTTTCTTGCAACGGGTCAAAACTTAAATTAGCATCCATGAAGGAATAGTAAGTTACTAAGTTGGAGCATGGCCAACACTCCAAAGTTATCGATATACAAAGTTATCTTAGGAGGGGACACGATCTTGATGCATAAGGGAGTAGATCTGGAAGCTTGAAAGCTTGGCTCCAACTGAAACCTTCCATCCCTTGAATGAAGACACCGGATTGGCCCAACTTTCACAAATGACCCCCAAAAAACCGACCCTTCTCCTTTCCGGGTCTGGCTTTTTCACATTGTTTTTGTCATCAACCCGTAGTTGGGAGGTCGGCTAATATAAGTTGTAAGAAAACAAAAATCAAAGTCACATGGTCAGAGGTGTAAAGAGTTCAAGGAAAATCTGCAGAAAATAGAAAGAAATTAGATTAGGAAAGAAAAAATTGAAATTGGCAATGTATAAAAAAAGAGAACAAAGCTAGAACACTTAATCAACAATGTATCCAATTTTATAGGGAAAGGGAAGCCTATATATTTACTGATTGAGAATAGAAGTCTGTTAGGAATAAAACCAATTAGGACTAAATACATATACAATTATAGACTTTGCACTTATAAACTCTTACTACAAAAAAAAAACAAAAAATACGTATTTAAATGGAAGAACTTAGAGACCTGCAGTAAAAGGATGTCTACTAAATATAAATAAAATGATAGATTTTTCACTTAAGAACTTTAAGTACAAAGACACCAAAAAGTACACATTTAAATTGAAGAAGTTAGAGACATGCAAGGGTGTACACTAAATAAGAGTAAGTTGCATGAATACATACACAACTGGACAGGCTCCCTAGCAAATTATTTGTTGAAGAAGAGTCGGGTAGTTTTTTCAGGAGAAGTTTCTATGTCATCCTGTGACATTTGGCTTTCATAGTCCATTAAAAATAATGATTAATCTAGGGAAAATGACTGAAGACAACGAAAAGAGTCTGCTCATGAAGAAATTAAGCATATAAAAAATGGCATGGAAAACCTAGATTGTAGTTCTTGTGAGCAGCATCAATCTATATCCAATGCACACCAATGGCCATCTAAACATTTAATCAAACATGTTGTATGCATGAAAACAAACATATGTCCCTAATCAATGGTTTTCACGGTCCCTGTGATATCCAATTGAGCAAAAATACTCAATAAAGTGAACTTAACAATTCAAACCACAGGTTACCTAAAATCCTAAAATTAGTAATTACGGAGGAATTGACCTTAGTGAAAAGTATTAAGCGAAGGAAGAATATGATGATGAAATGATAAATGTAGCACGAGAGAAAAAAATAGCATGAATCTTCTTTTTTATGAATTGAAAAGTCCATCGAAAACATAGTTCATATACAGTAAACATATCAAATCAACTAATTGTAAGAACAATTGGAAACTAAAGAAAGTATTCAGTCTACCTCATCAAGATGATGTGGGTCAAGAAGTCAAGACAATACACTACTGCTACATGTGACTGTATTATGTATTTATTATGTAGTTTCATGGTTTTATTTTCTCTTCTAAGTTAATAACTTTATACTCCATATGGTATAACTTAAAACTGACAACTTCTTCCCTAATAAACATGCAATTGCAGATTTGCAATTCTCTCATTTGATGGGAAATGATAAGTGAGTTGTAACTTTACTCTCTCCTAGACCATTACTTAATAGATTTGCATCACATAAAGATGAAGACTAAGGGCATATTCTGACATTCTGAGATCCTTTAAATTGCATTCTTGAATTTAAGAAAGAGATGATGAAAACTAACTGGAAAGTGGAGCATTAGACTGTTTGAAGATGTAGATCTCAACTATTGTGTAGACATAATTCTCTTCCATGAATCTATCATAATTATCATGCAATTTTAGTTGGCTTTTCATTCTCCAAATAATGCTACCCTAATATGAAAATGAGGAGTCTGCTGCTAAAAATGCTGAAATAATGTCCAAATCAGCACTACACAAACCAAAATATTTAAAACTAAAAATGTTTAAAAAGCTAACAAAAATGACATTTAGTAACAGCTCTTGTAAAGTGAATTTTTTATAATATCTCTAATTGCTGAGTTTTTGTTGCTCTATCACAATATTCCATTTTCTCATTTTTTTTGTTAATTTAAGGCCCGTGGCGGTTAGACAATCCCTCATTTTTGTGTAGTGCGGCGGTGCGGCCTTCGCTTTCTAGTGTCACTATGATAAGCACAGAGAAATATTTCCAGTGTCACAGAAAGATCAACAAATTTTAGAGTTAGGCATGCCTATTTCACATTAAATTGTGATTGGATTAAATATTATTTTAAGCCACCCAACAGATCAAAATGGAAAATGAAGACGGCAAAAGTTATATTGTAATAAGGAGGAACAATTTTGTTGTAACACTGACGTCGGGAAGGAGAAAGAAGGCATACAAAGAATAAGGAGAAGAAGAATCACAAACCCTGTGGAACAGCAGTCTCCCAGTTAGGAAGACGAATAACTGAAGAAGTAATGCCACCTTTAAAGAAATGAAGATCTGAAATGAAATAAGAGAAGTGATGGAGTATATGGCCCAGGAACCCCCGGCCCATAGACTCCTACTTCTCCTACACAAGTGCATTGAGCCCAGAGAACAACTCAGGCCCAAATGCAACGGCCCAAACCTCAAAGAAGTCCGGAATACACACTGGAGTGCCTTCGGCCTCATTGATCGAAGGCTCCAAAACTCACAGGGTAGCCCCCTCTGGCATGAGAAGATACTGGGAGAAAACGGCGGAAAACATGAGCCTTCGGCATTATCAAGCCCTCGACATCAGGGAAGCCTTCGGCTGAACCAAGCCTTCGGTCACACAAGGCCTTCGGCTACACAGGGGTCCTTGGTCACATGGAGCCCTCGGCTACACAAGGAGCCTTCGGCCAAACATGCTCAATCATCGAAGATTCCTTTTGGAGACAACCAACCACCGCATTTAATGCCACGTCACATCCGCCAACCGCATTCAATGCGGCGAACGTACCACTGCCGGTGCCACCCGACTGATGTGACCCCTCGGCCGTTGGATTATTGACACGTGTACTCTCATCGCATTTATTGCTGCTATAAATAGCAGCCCATTTCTCCTTGTAAATGATCGACATCCCAGATCTCCACACGCTGAGTTCATTTTAATAAATCGACTCTCTCTCCTCCTATTTACTCTGACTTCTCTCTAGTTATTCCCGCAATAACCCCTCGGATAAGATACCCCCCGGGTAGACTATCCATCAAGAAGATTCAGAAATATAAACACGTCATTTCTAGCAACTTTAGCAAGTACCATTCATTAAGGAAATAGAGTGTAACTTTTGATGGATCATAACACTATAACAGATAAATCAATATGGATAACACTGAGACATTTTATAATCAAGTCCTCACGGAGTGATCAACCTTATTTTGCTATAGAATGTAAAGAATCAAGAAAGTTTGAGGTTTATATTCATATGTGCACTCTACTATGGAATGTACAAAATCCAGAAACTTTAGGGAATTATATGTGTTTCAATTAATCTGGACTAAGTTTTGAGGGCTTCCATTTCGTGCATTTCATTTTGTTAACTCCTAATTTTTTGTTTGACTCACCTAATTCCCTGTAGTTCAGCAAATGTAGGCTCTTCTTTAAGCAAATGTTCCCTATGAATATTTGATGGTATTAGTTATTCTGTTTTAAACTTAATTGTTCAAAAAAGTGCAAGAAACAAAATGAAAACAGGCTGACCAAAACTGAACAAAAAAGATGCATTTGAGGGAATGAAAAAAAGATTTACTTTTGATTTCAAAATCAGTTTATTCTTATACATACAATGTATTCTTCTTCTTATATTGCAATTTCTTTTGAGCTTAAAATTAGTTTCTTCTTATGCATACATTCACATTAACATGGCTAAGATTGGTTTAAGTGGATATTTGATTGTATAGTTCAATATAGATGAACAAAGGTGGGCTTGTTCACATGGATGAAGAAAAAAATAAAATGACAGAATATTAAAAACAGGCTGGCTAAAACAGAAAAAAACACATTTGAAGGAATAGAAAAAACATGTTTAGCTATGCCACTCTAATAAAAAAATCAGTTTTTGTTATGTACCCACTCACACAGTGGATTAATCTTTTATATTGCAAATCCTTTTGAGCCTCAAGTCTATTTTTGTTATACATACTCACTCAATCTATATTCTCCTTTTTTTAAAGAGAAACATGGATGAAAAAAAACTCAGAACAAAAAAACATGTTGAACAAAACAGGACAAAAAAGATAAATTTGAAGGAATTGAAAGAATTACCTATTCAACTCTAAGAAGAAAAGTCAGTTTTTTGCTATAGCTCCATGTGATTATTGCAATAGGTCAGAAAGTGTTTAAACAAATGTTTTTGATGCTATTAGTTAACAACAAACAAGACAAAAATAAAACATGCTGAACAAAATAGAACAAAAATATGCCTTTGAAAGAATAGAAAACAGATTTACCTATTCAACTCTAAGAAGAAAAATCAGTCCTTTGTTATATTATGAAATTTAAGTTTTGATGTGGAAGAATTAGAGGGTAAACATAGATGTGGAAGAGCTGGGTTAATGTGGAAGAAAACTACACCGACATAGAAATAAACATGGGTTTAGACAGAAATAAACATGGTTGAATTACAGAGAATCAAGAAATATAGAAAAACGAAGAATTACAAAGTACCTTGGATACTCGTGCAGCGAGAATAAGAGCCCTAATGTTGATCTTCATCTGTACGAACCCTAGTGACGGTATTATTCGGAGGTCTGATTCGATGAAAAGTTGTGCAGTAATCTAGCATATGAAGCTGTGTAGCTGCGGGAGATGTGAGAAAAGTTAGCCTGGAAATGTGGTTAGAGTGCGGAGAAGATGGAAAGCATAGGCGCGTGGAATTGTGTTCGTTCCTGAGCCAAAAAAACGCTTCAAAATGATAGAGCCACGTGGCAGCAGAAGGTGAAATGAGAAAAACGTGGGAAGAGCAACACATAAGAATTTTTGAGGATAGAATTGTCATTTAAGGAGCTATCTCTTTTCTTATATATAAATAGATTAGAGGCAAAGATGTGGGCGTGTTATTATTGAGATATATGCGCAAGTGATTACATCAATGTTGGAAAATGGCATTGGAAGTTCATATTTATATTGATTGAAGATATTAGTGAAATTCTTCATGATGAAGAATTTCTCTAATATTATGGTAAATATTTTGTGAATGGTGCGACCCATGGTTTAGTCAAGGCAATCCTTTAAAGCCAACTGACATATATTGCTTGATTTAATAAGAAGTTGATTGTTTGTTCTTCAAAATCTACATTCAAAAACCAGACGAAAATTCAAAAGCATAATTCTTAAATCAGAGTTTGAACATATTTCAATTTGATCGACTATTAGGCCAAAAAAACTTCTTGATAGACTAGCATTCTAAGATTGTTTTCTTTTGGACTGTTTTCAGTCCCAAACCAGACTAGATTAGACTAAATCAGACCAGACTTGACTTCCGTAGTTATAAAGTACACAGAGATCAGACGTTTACTAGACCAGACCAGCAAATTTTAGTCCAAAAGAAAACATCCTAACTTCTAAGGAAGCAAATGTATAAAGGAATAATTGATTAGAATATAATGTGAAATTTATATTTCTTACCATAAAACCTACAAAGTAATACTACGTAGATTCCATGAAGGGGGTGCGGGGGGGGGGGGGGGGGGGGGGGATAAAAATCCAATTATTTAAGCATGACGCATTCATGGTTCATAGTTTCATACATGCGGCTAACGGAATGTGATTATATTTACTAGTACCAATGTAATCGGAGATCAGAAGATTAATATTTCCAAAAATGTTTTGAGTAAAATTGGAATTGTTTAAATTACATTTTGTATGATAAATATTGAATTATTAATGAATTTTATTTTAGGGAAAATGGGCAAATAAGCCCTCGAACTAACCAAAAAAGGTCAAATAAGCCTTTATTTAGGAGGCTCTGTCCGGCCATCGACGTTTGGGAAGGTTTCTGATGGAATTTTTTGATGAAATTTTGTGAGAATCTTCTTCATTAAGTCTAGTTTATCCATACCACATTTCAGCTAAAAATTCAACCGGGAAGGCAGTCAAATGAGTTTCTTAAATATATTGCGATGTTTAACTGCACAGTTATCTTCAAAAAATCATTTGACTGTCTTCCCGGCTGAATTTTTAGCTGAAATTTGGTATGGATAAACTAGACTTAATCGAGACGATGCTAAAAAAATTTCATCAAAAAATTCCACCGGGAACCTCCCCAAACGATGATGACCGGACAGAGCCTCCTATATAAGGGCTTATTTGACTTTTTTTGGTTAGTTCGAGAGCTTATTTGCCCCTTTTCCCTTTATTTTATGTTGGTTTAACGGATCAGTCTCTGCCGCCTTTATTGTAGATAGTTTCTCATCCTTGGCTTCTGGATGACTAGGAATATTGATCATGACGAGCTACCCACATCTAGAGATCGGCCTCGGCCATCCCATCAGCAGACAGACACCGCTGCAGCTCCATCTCTATGCCGAAGGGCTCGCACCTTTTGCTTCGTTTTGGGGGAATCCGGTGTACTCTTTTTTCCTCATTAGGATTTTTTCCCACAGGGTTTTTTCCTAATGAGGTTTTTAACGAGTCATCTCCTCATTGAGGATCAAAAGGTGTGGGGGACTGAAATTTTAAGACATGCACTATCTACTCCTCTTCACCTCATTACACTCGCCTCAAGGAGTGGGGGACTGAAAGAGCGGGGGACTTAGCGCCTCCGCAATCGAAAAAGCACAAATTCAAAATATTTGCAAGGATTTCCACACGCACCGACAACATCATCACATCACATACATATTCAGCTGCCACATCGTCCAATACATATACATAGCTCCCCAACCTCAAGACCGGTGGTGATGGTCTCTAGTCTGCGACCTTCGGCTGAGGATTCTCCCACAGGGTTGCCTCAGTCAGGGCTCGCCAATGGGATCGGATCATCGGCTTGGGAATTCGGGTGAGGCGCTTCGGCGACGATAACAGTTTACTCACCGGATGATGACAGATCAGCACACAATTCTACTCTCTTTCGCCTCGAGTACTCTCGACTCAGAGAGTGGGGGACTCCTGATAGAGTATATAGACTCGGACCCTCGGGTCTCACGACTATTGGGCCCGGACAGCGGCCCACATATGCTCAGTAGATAGCATTTATCTCATTGTACACTCTATTTTATTCATGTATATCCATTAGAATAGATTAAATACCATTTATTAGCCATTTATTGGCCTTTTATTGTAACTGAGCCTTCCAGACCCAAGCCTGGGAGCCCAGCCCTCTTTTCTTCTATAAATATACTCCATATGGGAGCCATGTAAAGTGTTTTTTTTTTGGAAGTTGAAAATTCATTATACATATCACTTTATCTCTCTAGATCTCCCGTCTCTCTAGATTAAATAATCTATCAGTTATGATTTTAATTAAGCATTACCAGTTGCTTATGAATTCTTTTTTTTTAATAATCAGGGAACACGTTGAAATGCTAAAAAATTAAGGGCTTGATGACGTCAAGAATGTAATCGACTATGAGAAGAATAATATTACAACAATATATGTACTCTAATGTATGCTTATGATGTTAATATCGTAAATCTCAAAGGTGTCGACCAACATCACATCGTGTGGTCGACAGATTGTAATACTCTGGAAGAACTCAAAAGGATTAAAAGTGTCACTCCTATCAACAAGGTGTATCTTCTTTTAAGAGTTCATCTACTATGAGCTCCACAATTCAACATGATGGTATGTGAGTATAGTATTAAAATGGGTGATCTCCTGGTATGTCAGGCGCTTAGTGAGCAGGGCTAAGTGTTACAAGTGGTATCATAGCAACCATGCGACACTGTGCTCATCTGTGGTATTGGAATCGGGTGCTTAATGAGTAGGGTCGGGTGTTACAAGTGGTATAAGAGCAACCCTGCTAAAGTGTACGGATTTGGGGTATCCGAATACGACGTTTAGCGAGCAGTGTCAGGGGTTACAAGTTGTATTGGAGCAACTCTATGACAATTGCTTCTCCGGGGTGTCGAAATCAAGCGCTAAGTGGGTGTTTAAGCTTTTGGACGCAACACGAACGTTGCGATATTTAGTGGGAGTAATTGTAATCTCAAGAGGATCTCAAAGGGAACAAAAGTCCTATATATTCATTCCAATAAGATGCATCTTGTTTAAAAAGTTCATTTACTAAGAAATCTACAGTTAAGCGTGCTTATACTTGAGGACTCTTAGAATGGATTACACCTTGAGAAGTTTTTTAGGGTGGTGACGAGTGAGGAAAACATTTGAGTAAGGGCTTGTCACTACAAAAAAATAGGGCCGTAGTCACGGACTTAGTCATAGATCGTAGTGTTAAAAATCCGTGACTAACTCATTATTCAATTCAGAGTACATGGGCCAGGGTGTCACATGGGAGACACTTCTCAACTCATTATAACCGGATTACCTATTATCTAAATGACGTGTTATCAATTTAAGCCTATTTTTGCAAAAAAAAAAAAGAACAAATAAATTGAAATAACTGAAAAAAATTGATCTAGAACTTTGAGAAAACCGATCATTGAAGCCTCTGATTTTTCGAATCTAAAAAATTCAGATCTAAAACAACAATTTTCACTTAAATCTCAATAAAAATTAAGCAAATAAAATCAACAAAAAAATTCAAAAGATCTAAGAGGTGGAGAAAGCAGAGTATTGGGACAAGGAGAATGATGATAATAGGAGTAGAAAGAAGATGTAAAAGAAGTAGAGGAAGAAGAGGACGAATTAGAACAAAACTTACATGTGAGTCGCCATCCAGAGGTGGCAAAGTTGGAGAGAAATTTTGAAGTCCATACTCCATGGGACAAGAAGATGCGTGAGTATGCAGAGAGGAGGATGGGAGGAGGGAGAAGAAAGATGAGAAACGATATATGAGAGAGCTGAGAAAAGAAAGGAGAGGCGGCGCGGTGCAGGTACAGAAAGAAAATTAGGGGAGAGGTGGAGTTGGAATTGGAATTCCTATTTTGGGAATAAAAAACATAAGCTTCTAATTTTGAACTATTCCTATGTTTTACTTTTTTTTTTAAATCCCGAGAATCCACCAGATAGGTGGGGTAAATGTCGGGGAACATTTACCAAATTTATTAAAAGACGAGAAACAAGTTTACAGTGAAAAAGAGTCCTATGTTTTACTCCTATCCGGAGGAATATCTATAAAGTTATTTGTGTTTTACATAAGTAAGCACGAAGTATATGTTTATCAGTTTATGTTAGAAAAAAGGAGTGAAATCACACAAATACATTTAGACCGAAATGTAATGAAGTCGAATTTCTGACCATCCCAGTCGAATTTCTGCACATGAATTGTCCTCTTCAATTTCATATGTAAACTGTAATTCTCCATAATGCCTACCACATACATACATATATAAACATTTGCATGGTGCATTTAACATATGTACAAGGGAAAGAAAAAATAAAAAAGGAATATGAATTGTATACTATACAGAGTATATTACTCCGTAACGTAAGTATGTAACGTATTAGCTACCCTGGCCGTAAGATTATTGACCTTATTAGTGATGGAGCCAGAAATGGTAGATTAGGAGAATGGGAGCTTAAAGAATTTATGTTATGAAAATGTAAATTTTATTTTCTAAAAACAATCTGAGTTTTCACAGGGATCATTTAACTTTATCGCTGGTCAAACTTCGTAACCCGCAATTGGAAGTTTAATATGGGACGGAGGTAGTATCTTTTTATTGTCTATAAATATTTAATTTATGCATATGTACATAAAAAACAAAACTTCCTAGGGGGCCGAGGCCCGGCGGTGGCAAACCAAGAAAATGGATGGTTATTGACAATGGATGGCGGAGGTGACCGCCAAGAAGGCGGAGGGAGTGCATGGGAGGGTAAGACCGCCCATGGGATGATGAAACTCATACTCTTCCTCGGCCAGCCTCAACAGCCGTTGAAACAGCGGGTGCTTCAAGTACCATATCGGAACAACGAACCGTTGCTTCTTCTCCTCCGGCCGTTCTCCGACGACGTAAACCGCCACGTGACCCTTCCGAACTTCCCCTCCGCCTCTTCTCCGTCTTGCTCCGGCTAATACTTCCCTCGCCTGACCGGCTATCGTATGTAAACGGATTATCGTAATTGCCATTCCCATCAAAATCAAGTTACTCCACAAGTTAAGTAGCTAGCATGAATATGAACGGCACATATATAGAATTGGAAGTGTGTAGTACGGCCTATTATTCCAACGGTTCAATTAAGAAATAATTTTAGCAAGTGGGACTTGGAATTACGGTACTCACTAAAATTGCTATAATTAATTATTAAATAGAAGTATTAATTAATAGAGAATATCGACTGTCTCTATATGAGTGCTTGTGTAAATTAATTAAAAATATACGGAATATTTATATGATGCGTTATGGGGGGGGATGATATTTAATTTGGCGCTAGCGGCCACCAGACAATTTACATGATTATTGGAACATAGCATGCTCGTATTATTTGAATTATATTTATTTAAATTGAACGTAAACAAAACAAGAATCGAAATTAATTCGAAACCATTAGGAACAATTAACAAAGGTTACGTTGTGACAAGACATAATTAAAATGTCCCTTCATAAATATAGATATGGGTACGGTGGATAGAATTATACTCGTGACTTGTGAGGCTAATTCTGAACGTTAAGAACGAGAACAGGATAATAAAGTTCGAAGTCGTTTACGAGTTTTGGTACGGCAGTGACACAAATCTAAGCAGCCACATACCTAAATATTTCAAAAGTCTGTTCATCGCTCTACATATACTTTGACCACATACACCCATAGTCTCATTTGATATGTACCGGTCTATTAGACTCCAACTTAAAAACCTTCCCATTTCAAAAGTAATTAGATTAAAAATAGTCAAAGATGGTATGAATTATTGAAGATATGATGAAAAATAGTGAAATAATGTGTTGGAAAGAAGGATAAATTCAGAAAAGTAGTTGTAATAGTGTATTATTTTCAAAATTATTGAGGGTACGATGGGAAGATTTAGAAATGAGAAGATTTTTTTGTTACGGACGAAAAAGGAAAGTGAGACGATTTTTTTGTTACGAAGGGAGTATTATGGAAGTTTAATTCATATCTTCCCAATTAAGAATTCGGTGACTTCGATCGAATCGATGTTGGGTCTTCAAAAATGAGATGTCGCCTATGTTGCACGGAAATGCGAAAATCTTGAGTAACGCGCGAAACGGGAAAAGTCAACTTTTGCTTAAAAATGCTTGTCTGTAGAGTTTTTGTAGAAATTCCGAAACGAAAACATACTCTTCCCTCTGAGAGTTTCCGTGCTACATAGGATGTCACCCTTTCTTGAAAAGTCGATCATAGACTCATAGCTTATTTTACGCCTTTTTCTAATCTTTTTTTGTGCATTAACAATTCTTACTTTTTTTGTCAATTACTAGCGATTTTTGGCACGTTTGGCATCGCTACCAAGTACTAGCTCTCACTTGGGAAATTACTGCAAGTAAGGTGGTTTTCTTTTGGACTGTTTTCAGTCCCAGACCATACCAGACTTAAACAGACCAGACTTCCGTAGTTATAAAATACACAGAGACCAGACGTTTACCAGACCAGACCAGACTTAAACAGACCAGACCAACAAATTTCAGTCCAAAAGAAAACATCCTAAATATTCAAAAGATTTTGGAAAACTTTCCAAAATATGCAATGAATATATATGATGTTGAAAAATGAAATTAAGTTATATTTTTTCTGTATATAGAAGTATATCATGAAGGAGAACAAATATTTTGAAATATTACATTATTTTTACCTATCATTTGGGTAATTTCAAAAACCTTTTCCTTACTTTTGACGATATTTTCTTAAAGATGTTTTAATTTGGTCCGTTTAATTCTAGTTTGGAAAAGTTTGTATTAGTCGGGGCTGGTACATTCCTGATCTATGTGTAATTTGGTTAAACGTACGTTGATATGATTTTGTCTTGTTTGATATGTTTAAATTAGCTCCGATCTGAACTCAGACTAAAACTATTCCAATAACAAACATCGATTTGCACCACGCAAAAAAATAAGTAGTAGAAATGAAAGGTTATATATGACGCGATCTCTCGGAACATCTATATATGATTATATGAGATGGCTGAACTTAAACCAAAAGTATCTTGGTAAAATTGGAGTCGTTTGAAATACATGTATTTAAAAAATGAGGCTAACCCACGCTAGTAGTAGTAGTGCTGATACAAATTAAATAGAGAACAAAAGTTCGATTTGTTTCAAATTATCCTATTAGAAAGCCTGCCTAAGTGAAGTGGGAATTCATGGGAATGGGAGAGCAAATTTTAAGAAGCTACACGAGTCAACAACAAATAGCGCGGCTGTTCTATATTTTAGAGATATATATTCCGTATACTTTATTCCTAATTATAACTACGTACATTCCATTCAAGTTCAACCTTATAATCCTTACATTCCATTGACCCATTGCATTCCATTCTAAAGTTCAACCTTATAATCTAACAAAAGAAGTTTGAAGACCTTGTATGTTGATTTATATCTTAATATTTGGTTGATATATGGAATCACTTATAATACTTCCTCAAGACAATATATACCTATTGGAATTGGAGAAGAGTAGAAGACCAAACATGATTTTCGTGTGCTCGTTTTTATGGGTTAATCGGATCGATTCCTTGTTCGAGCTGATGAATTGGCTCTACCAATTTTACGACTTTGGTTCAATCGTAAAGGATCAATCTAATATGATGAGTACTCCAATACCTTGATGATAATTTTCATCTTTATGCTTAACTAGTGTACGTGGATGAAAAGAGTTCAAATATGTCCCTCAATTTTTTTCAAATCTCATATAGCCGCTTGAGGTTAGAAGAGCATCATTTAAAAAAGTCTCCCAAATTCATGGATCTTCTAAACTCAAAATCTCCTACATAAAGAATCAAGTATGGGAAGTGATCAATTTAGTAGGGGTGGGCATAAAACCCGAACCGGACTGTAATGGTGCCGAACCGAATATCGGGTATTTAAACGGTTCTATAAATTTTTTTATCCCGAACCGAAACCGTACCGTTTGAAACGAGTACGGGATCGATCTTAGATTTTGAGAACCGAAAAATACCGAACCGAACCGTTCAAAAATAATGCATTTGAATTTTTTATATTTTCTTCCATACCAATAAATATATATATTTTATAGACCAATAATTTTATACCCAAAATGTATTCATGTCCCTAAAATAGCTAAATGTGTGTGTTTATTTGTATATTGTTATTTTTTGTATAGATAATTTTGTGTTATATTTTGGTATGTATTGAAAGAATGTTAAAGTTTTAAAAATCACTAATGACTATTAATTTCTAGTAATGTAGTATATATGACTTTGGATGTTTTCTTTTGGACTGTTTTCAGTCCCAGACCAGACCAGATCAGACCAGACCAGACTTAAACAGACCAGACCAGACCGGACTTGGATAGTTATAAAATACACAGAGACCAGACGTTTACCAGACCAGACCAGTTCAGACCAGACCAGACCAGACCAGACTTAAACAGACCAGACCAAACCAGATCAGACCAGACCAGACCAGACCAGACCAGCAAATTTCAGTCCAAAAGAAAATATCCTTTTTGTTGTATCATGTTTGTGCAATTGTACAACTTAATTAATACTACGTATGATTTAAATCTTAGCTCTCACGGTTCAACGAACTATAAATTAAATTAGAAATAATATTTATCCTATAACAAAGAAAAAGAACGTTGAATTTTTCTATTATATTGAACAATTTGATTATATTCTTTTTATATTTTCACATGAACTTAGTAAATGAAAGATGATATTTATCTCGTGTATCATTATTTTGCTATATTTTCTCTTAGTTGTGTTGCACTATTCGTGTATTTTATTACTACATATGCAATTTCTTGTATTTATATCAACACTTAAAGTGAGTTGGTTGGTCTGATGTTATTTAATAATTGCAAGATTACTCCAATTTTTTAACATGCGTTTGGCATTGTACCGTACCGTTTTGTACCGTTCTGAATCGACATGGTACCGAATGGTTCTATCCTTAGAACCGGATCGGATCCGGTAACGTTAGAAACCTTACGGATACATTACAGATTTTACTAATTTCCCGGACCGTTCCGGACCGCACCCAACCCTACAATTTAGACCACTCCAACCTATCTAATTAACAGTTTTTCCAGACGTATACACGGATTGTTTGTGTATACCACCTAGCTAGTAAGTAAGTTGCTATCAAATCGGCGTTATATGAAGAACGCTTTTCTTAAATATACAAATCAAATTGATCCACGAGCTAGATAGAAATATGGAATTAATTATAAATTATGTATACACATTCATTTATTTGTGATTTTAGATGCATTTTATTCAACAATAGTACGTATACACTATAATACTAATATGCTACTAATATATCATGTGCTCATAATAACATGATCGATTTTAATAATATAGCAACAATAATAACATGGTATGTGCTAAATATAAAGTAGAGTCCAAGTAAGTTTTGGGGTCAATTGGACCACGTTTCACACTAACTATAACGACAACGGAAGCAGATCGTCTGCATTTATAGAACATGCTAAAGCTCCCAGGCAGGCCAAGTTGTATGATTGCATCAAATTTATTTAATTAATTAGTCTGATTGACATACATATCAGCATACACTGGTATATATGGATAGCACCTGGTTTTGATGAACCCGTATTTGTGTTTAGTACCTGGATTAAAGCAGTGTTTGTACAAAATTTTAGGAGGTGGATGTGTAGATTAGCTCGGATTAAAGCCTTCTAAAAATGTTTTGAATGGACTTATTTCAGTCCCAAACCAAATCAGATCAAATTAGAACAAAGCTAATCAAACTTGTGCAGTTGCAAAATACACAGAGATTAATTCAGACATGAAAATTTCAGTTCAAATAAAAACATCTAAAGCAATAATACACATACTTATCCTCCGTATATTATTAATCTCTCAAAGTATTTTCTGAAACCCGTCCTTTTGATAGTACGAAATACGGATTATATATTGTCACATAAGATGAATTTATAGCTCTCCCACCCGACCCAATAATATAGAGTAATCGTCCTTAATAGAAGTAAAACAAT